ACCCATGACGATCATGTACATGCAGGTGTCCGTGCACGACAAAGATCGTCCTTCCGTTGCCCGGGACGTAGGCGCTGACGAGGACGGCCTTGCCCGGTCCCGGGTACAGCGCCAGCGTCGCGGGGAAGCCTGAACGAGTGATCATCGAGTTCACCTCCTCCGGGCCCCAGTGGTTCTGCAGCTTCGGGGTGGGGGCGTCGGGCAGCAGCGTCTGCTGCACGGTGACGCGAACCTCCAGACCGCCACTGGCGGCGAGGGAGTTGACGGTGGTGTTGGTGTCGAAGACAAACGTGCGCTTCAAAACGGCGTCAACGTCTGACACGATGGCCGCTTCCAGCGCCGCTTTCCTCTCCTCCACCACAGGGCCCCAGGCAGAGCCGTTGAACGCAATTATGTGCTCCGACGGCGTCGCCAGTGCGGGGGCGGGGAGTGTGGCGGCCAGCGCCAGCAGAGCGAGGAGCAGCGGCAGCACCATTTTCCCCTGCATCATCTTGTCGTAGGGTTTACTTTAAAGTTGTGTGGTTGCAACCTGGTCATCGTCAGGAGTAAAAAGGAAGGCGCAAGGCGCAGTTTAGCTGGCGGTGGTTAAGCAGCTGCCTAGCCGTGCACGCACGGCGGCAGATGCACCGGAGGCGCGCATAACCGACGGCCAGAAGGAGTCAAGGGGCCGACGGGGGCCCGCCGCGTGTACGTAAAACCAGAAACAGGGCCCTTGGCCACACCGACCCATCCACGCGCCCAATAGCACAGTTCAAAGAGAGAGAACGAGAAAAATGACAGGGAAAGAAAATAAACTCTTTATCATTATTATTAGTTTTTTTTGTTATTATTGCAATAGTGTTCCGAGGCGCGTGTGACGGGAATGAGGAACGTGGGCGGGCTTCGCTCCGGGGGCACATGGAACGCAAAGCGAAAGCAAAAAGAAAAAAAACAACAACAAAAACCAGAAAGTACTTCTCGTACTCCTCTTTTTACTGTGTGCGTGTGTGTATTTTTATTTTTTTCGCCGCTCTGTCTTTGTCCTTCGTCGTTGGTGTCGCAGCGGCCGCTTCGCACTAGCGGCGGTATTAGCGAAAGCGAGAAATGATATAAATATTGGGGGTGGGCTGCCGCCACAGCACGCACAGAAACTCTAACAACCCGGATGTGTCTGTATGCGTGTGCGTGTAGGCGTAGACGCGTATATATGTACAAAAGTATAAATACATACAAATTGGTGGATAAATACGTGTGTAGGTGCAAGCATGTAGGCGGATGCCTGCCTTGGAAAATGACACGCACGCACGAAGAAAAGAAAAACAAAAGGAAAGGGCCAAGAAACGCATATACCGCCACTGCGAGGGATCATGGATGCCCTCCACTGGTCTAGATATATATATATATATATTCGCATGTATATATAAAAGGAACAAACGCCGCAGCAGGAAACTCCATGCTTCCAACTTCACCGTCCGTTGCGGGACGCCCAGGAGGGTGCAAAAACAAACAAACAAACAAGGAAGAAAAGAAACAAGAAAACCTGCCCTCCACCCCTTCCGCGCGCGCACGACCCTCGCTTCCCCTTTACCCCCAAACAAACAACGGAGAAAACAATAAACAATAAACAATAAACGCTCTGGTTCCATTACAGGGAAGGAGGGAAACTAAAAAAAAAAACAACAACAGCAAGAGAGTGAAAGAAAAAAGAAAAGCGCACAGAAAAAAAAACTACTTCACCTTGGACCTATTCTGATTCATGTGGTACAACTCGTACTCATGTTCAGAGCCCCCGCAACAGCAGTGGCAGCACATCCAGAAAAGCAAAATCAACAGGCAAAACGTCATCGCAGCTATGGTGCATGTTCCCAGTACGATTAAGCGCGTGCACAAGACGTCGTACGCACTCACCCTCTCGCCGAGTTCGGGAGTTCGCACGCTGATGAGGTGTGCCTCCTCCGACGGTGTGTGGATCGCCAGCGTTTTTTTGAAGGCACACTGATTGATCATAGAATTGACTTCATCCGGCGGCCAAATGTGCAGGAGGTGGGAGCCGGAACTATTGCTCCGCGGGGCCTGCAGCACGGTGAGGCGAGCCTCGAGGTGTTTGTCGGCTTGCAGGGAGCTCACGTTGATGATGGTCACGAAGGCGTACTTGCGCAGCAGCTGGGGCCCAACGTCTTCGACGATGGCCCGCTGGACCTCCGCCCCCTTTTTCTCCAGCACGGAGCCCCACGCGGAGCCCCCAAACACGAGGATGTGCTGCGACTTGGAAACGGCCTGTGCGGCGACGGCGGGCACGGCATACGGCAGGCACAGCAGCACCAGCAGCGCCGAGGCAAGAAGGAAGCCGCCGCCGCCCCGCATCCTTCACTACTGCCGCAGAGACGCAGGGTGGGGTTGGGTTGCGTGAGCCCTACTCTCCCCGCACGGCCAACGCAACAAGTCAAGAGAAGCAAGAAAGTGAGGTGAGAAGTTGCGCCCGCGTGTGGGGGATGGAGTTGAATGAGGCGCAGCGGAGGGAGCCGCGCCCGCGAGCCACCGGCGCGGGAGCCGCGGTTCCGCCCCGTGTAGGAAAGAAGCCTCCAGCAGAAAAGAAAAAAAAAGAAACCAAAAACAAAAGAAAACAAAACAAAACAAAGCAAAACATAAAGACGTACGTTTATTTATGTGTTTATATGGATATGTATTTCTGCAAGTATATTCCCTTTTTCCTTTTGGTCCTCCTCCTTCGTTCCTTTCGTCTCTTTCGCCGCACCTCGGAAGCCTGCTGCGTGAACGCCGCAGTGGCGCGCACCACCACCACCTCCCAGAAAAAAGAAAAAAAAGAAAAAAAAGGAAAAGGGGCACACACACACACGTCCCCGTACGACCGCCTCTTCAGGCGGCAGTGAAGCAAATAGATGTTGCGTTCCGGCACGTGTTGCTTTTTATTTAGTTTGAGTTACTCTTCGAGTTCGCGTTTCCTCCCAGTGCGCCGCGGCAAGGCCGAAGGAAGGAAAGAGGGAGGGTTCAGGTGCACAGGAGCAAAGGGGCGGGGGAGGGAGCGAATAAAGAAGCGGGGAGGAAAAGCAAACACACGAACAGACGAAAACGGGATCACCGGCACGCCCTCCCCCTCCACGCAGCGCAGAAGGTGTGGGGGGCGGGGGTGGGGCGCACAAGAACAGGAATAAAAAGAAGAAGAACAAAAGAGCGTGTGCAACAAACACGGAGCAAAAACAGCAATCCCTCGCCACCCCTTCTTCCAAATAAAAAAAAAGAAGGCTATTATATATATATATAATGTTACGTACTGCATGGGCTCTCTACTCCGGATAGGGCCGCACGCTCCTTTCGGCGCTTTTGCTGCAACAGCAAAGGAAGCACATCCAGCAAAGCACAACAAACAGCACCAGCCCCATGGCAGCGACAGCGACGCAACCTAACAAGGTCAGTTCCCTGCGAAAAGCTTCTTCGGCCATGCTCTTTACGAGTTTTTCCTCGAGTTGCACGCTGATGAGGTTTGCCTCCCCCGACGGTGTGTGGATCGCCAGCGTTTTTTTGAAGGCACACTGATTGATCATAGAATTGACTTCATCCGGCGGCCAAATGTGCAGGAGCCGGGAGCCGGAACTATTGCCCCGCGCGGCCTGCAGCACGGTGAGGCGAGCCTCGAGGCGTTTGTCGGCTTGCAGGGAGCTCACGTTGATGATGGTCACGAAGGCGTACTTGCGCAGCAGCTGGGGCCCAACGTCTTCGACGATGGCCCGCTGGACCTCCGCCCCCTTTTCCTCCAGCACGGAGCCCCACGCGGAGCCCCCAAACACGAGGATGTGCTGCGACTTGGAAACGGCCTGTGCGGCGACGGCGGGCACGGCACACGGCAGGCACAGCAGCACCAGCAGCGCCGAGGCAAGAAGGAAGCCGCCGCCGCCCCGCATCCTTCACTACTGCCGCAGAGAAGCCCAGGAAAATGGTTCTTTACTTGAAGCAAACGCGGAAGAGATGCTGGGTGTGTGGGCGTCCTACCTCCACCCGCCAGCAGAAAATCGTGAATGCAAAGTCAAGTAGGGAAACAGAACCCAACAAGGTGCATAACCAATACAGTTTACCGACTTCACCCTCTCTGCATCTTTCTTCACCTTGGTTTTTTCTTCCTTCCGCATTTGCGCTGGTTCCCTTCCCCTTTTTCTTCTTCCCTCATCCTCCCGCCCCGGCGCGCTTTAGATGGGCCGGGAGGTGGTGCTCGCCGAAGCTGCAGGGCAGGCCCGTCACGCGCTCGCCGCGGCTGCCTTCGCCTTTGGCAGGCCGACCACCTCCCGCAGGACGGCCACGAGTTCGCCCTTCTTCTCGCGCAGCTGCAGCTCCGCCGCCGCCCGGTCACAGCCGAGCTCGCGCATCAGCAGGAGAACGTCCGCCTCCTGCAGCGGGATCTGCGCTAGCTCGTCCATCCGCTTCTTCTCCGCCAGCTTCTTCTGGAGCACGTCGGCGTGGAGCTTCCGCATCCGCTCCTGCACCGCCTTCTCATCGTACTTGCGCACCTCCACCGCCTTCTCCGCGCGGCTGGAGATGTCCTTCATGGACTCCTGCGCGTCGGACTGCCGCGCCATTGCACCGAACTCCTCCTCCTCCTGTTTACGCGCTCAACTATTTGCCTTATGCCTGCTCACGGCCGCTGCTTCTCCCTCTTTCTTCACACACACACACACAGAAGGGTTTCTTTGGGCTGCCTTCCTCTTCTTCTCACGTAAGTTTCAGGTAGGGAGGGAGGGAGGGAGGGAAGGAGGAGGCGATATACAGACGGGGGCAAGTTGCGGGTTGCAGGCGCATTGGGAAGGGGGGTGGGGGCAGCGGCGTGAGCGTGTCACTGCAACCAGAGAGGGAGCGAAACGTGCATGCATCTACACCGACAGCCGGAGAGGGGGAGACATGTCTGGTGCCTCGCACAAGCCGACCGAGACGTCGTAGCGCCACAACACGGGCTGGCGTGCCACGACAAGCCAATGAGGAGGAGGAAAAAGAAAAATAACAATAAAGCGGCGGCAACAAACAAAATTATGCAAATACAAAAAAAAAGAGGTAAAACCGACGAACACACAAACAAAAGGTGACATTCTTTTTTTTTTGTTCTTTTTCGTGTCCTCCGTCCTCGCTCCTCTCCACTCCGCGTTTGCCTCTTGTCGCCCCCGCAGAAAAGAAGTAAACGGAGGCAAGAGGAACAAAAACAACAACGACAAAACACTTCTTGTCTTTTTTCTTTGTGTGCTACCTGCCTCCCAGGGTCAGGCACCGCTCGCAGCGGAAGAGAAAGAAAAACGTCGCCCCCTCCTCTCACGCTCCTACTTCGACTAGACAGACACACTGGCGATGACGCCAAAGCGTCCCTGCAGGGACTCCGCGGTGGTGGCCAACGCCTCCAGCGTCGTCTCAAGCTTCGCGAGGCGCAGTTCCAGCTCTGCCAGCCCCGGCACCGCGGCGGCGAGGTGCGGCTGTGGCAGTGGCCGCTGCGGGGGAGACGACCGTGGCGTCGGCGCGGGCCGCTCCGGCTCCCTTCCATGGCCCGGCAGTTCCCTCTTCCCCGCCTGCGGGTACTCCTCCCCACGCGGGGTTGGGGTGCGCGAGTCGCGCTTCAGACGCATCTCTTGGAACAGCGGGAACGGGCGCCGCGCGCGTGGGGAGGTGACGGGCGAGGGGGTGCGCGAGGTGGACGGCGTGGCGGCGAGGCTCGACCCGAACGGCGTCTCCGACGCGAGACTCTCCTCAACGGTCCGCGTGGAGCGCAGGAAGGCGGTTTCCTGTCGCGCCAGCTCCCGCCGCATCTCACGGTAGGCGATGGCCTGCTGGGAGAGGAGAAAGGCGGCAAATTGGCGCGAGACGAAGTTGCGTCGGTCCCGCCGCGCCCTGTAGAGCCTCCAGGCGCGCTGAATGAGCCGCGCCGCCGTCGCCGGGACCCGGCCGCAGAGCTCGTTGCTGCGGAAGAGGGCGTAGAGGTTGCGCTCCGCCTGGGTGAGGGCGAGGGCCTGGCTCGCGACCCCCACCGTCCAGCAGAGGACGATGACGCCGAAGAGCGTGACGCACACCGCAAGGGCGCGGCCGGGCAGCGTCGCCGGCGCCACCTCACTGTACCCCGCAAGCGAGGCGGTGCTGACGCAGAAGTAGAAAGACTCCCCAAAGCCCACCCCCTCCGCCTTTGCGTAGGCGCAGGCGAAGACGACGACCCCGACCGCGACGGCGGCGAGCGTCGTGAGGAGGTGCTCCAGCAGTAAGGTGGTGCGAATGAAGAAGCGATAGTTCAGTCGGATGCGGGCGAGGCTTGCAATGGCGTGGGCAAACGCAGGCGCGTGGGAGACGCTCGCCCCGTACAGTAAAAACACGTAGAAGCGTAGAAAGAGGAACCCATCTAGCCCTGCAAGCCAGCCAGGGCGGCTTACGTCCTCCGGGAGGGGCGGGCACTGGACGACCCACACGAGCATCTCCAGCAGCATGCCACACGCGGAGGGCGAGTGAAACACACTCACCACCCGCTTCCTCCCACTCGCCCGGTTTGTCAGGCCGTGCAACCGCGCTTTCCCACGGTAGATGGCCACGATGGACACCTCCGCCGCCAGTGAAAAGGCGAGCATGATGGAGTGCGTGACAACCCGGCCCTCGTCAAAGAGCGAGAGGACGTAGCAGAGAACGGCCACAAAACACATCGCCCCGCGCAGCCAGCGGCGATTCGCAAGCAAGCGCTCCATGCGTGCCAACTCACTAATGCTGGCCGTCACGGGCGGAATGGGGGTGGGTGTCTGCGGCCTGATCAGCTGCTCGGCGCGGCCACGAAGCGTCATGACTGTCCGTACCCTGCGCCTTTTCCCCCCGCTCTCTCCCTCTTTCTCTCTCTCCCCCTAAAAAGCAAGCAAAGATAAATAAGCTTACTCACCGACAGTCAGGTTTGCGGCCCTCTCCACCCCCTCCCCTCCCACAATGAACGGGTCTCTGTCTGGCTGTGCGTGTGTCTTGGGCCCTGCCCGACCCAACGCCCTGCCGGGGAAGCGAAACTGCGCCCAGGCGCGGCGGCAGCAGCGCCAAAAACAACAAGAAAAAAAGTACACTGAAAGGAAGATGCACAGGCAGCCCCTCAAGCTCCCCCGTTTCGGTTCTCGCCCCCTCTTCCCACCGAGGCGCACGCACCGAAACGGGAGGAATCCGTCAAGTGTACAAAAAAGAAAAAAAAAACAAATAAAATCACTCACAGACAAAACAACGCACCTCCACCCAATCGCGAGGGGAGGGGAAGCGCGCAGACAAGAGGGTCTTGCACCACAGAAACCACGCATACACACACACACACACACAGTGAGAGAAGAAAAAAAGAAATAGACACTCCGAGGCTGCGAGCAGTGGTGGGGGGCAGGGGGAGGAAAACAAAGAAGCAAACAGACGACTTTACAACTGCACGTGCACCGGCAGGCGGAGACCCAACGACGCCAATAGCAGCACCAACCATCAAAAACAAATGTCTTTAACTCGGACGAATCACGCACGGAGGAGACAGAAACCAAGCAAAAAGCAAAAAAAATGAATCACAAGGCGCACCGACGCCTGGACCTTTCCCTTAGCTCCTGCGTGTGCGTCACAGGGTTCAATGACGTGAGTGAGCGAGGCTAGGGGGGTTGGTTGGGGCCGTCACGGTGAGGGCCTCCATCGACGCCGCGAGGCGACTGCACGTGGCCTCTAGCACCTCTACCTTCTTCAGGAGACCCAACACATCTACGTGGGCCTCCGGCGCCCCAGAAGCGCTTGCCACATCTGTCGAGCTTAAGTAGAGACCCTCCCCCGCCTGCGCGCTGCTCGCGACGGCCCGCTCCACCTCCTCACGCGTTGGCAGCCTGTCTCGGCCCTCAACGCAGTTGCGAAAAAACGCCTCCGCATCCGCCTGCTGTTGGGCCTCCTGCACCACGCGCAGCAGCTGTCGCAGCTGCTCCTCCTGCCACGGCTCCAGCACCCCAGTCGAGGGGCTCGCGCGAAAACGCTGCGTCGCGTCTGTCCAATCCTGCCGCTCACGACGCAGCCGCGAAATGTGACGTGCGAGGGCGCAGGCGTAAAAGAGCGCCTTGAGGCGTCGCCCCACTCCGGCTCGTGCCTCACTATGCAGGCGATGGAAGCGCCAGGCGGTTTGAATGACGCGTGCCGAGTCTCCCCGCACCACGCGGGAGAGCCTGTGACACCGCATCAAGACGTACATGTTGTGCTCGTTCGCGTCCTCCGTCAGGGAGCCGTGGACGACGACCACCAGGTAGGCAATGAGAAGAAAACTGACCACCCACGCCAGAGCCCCCACGAGCCTCCCGGCCGTGGTTGCCGGGGTGACGTCTCCGTAGCCGACCGTGCTGAGGGCCTGAAAGGCGTACCAGCAGCCGTCCTGCAGGGAGACCTGCTCCGCCCTGGCGAACATGCAGGACAGGGCGGCCCACGACACCACCGTCGCGAGCGAGGCAACCTTCGCCTTGCGGTACACAAGCGCCGTGCGCACCGTGAAGGCGGGGGTGAGGGGAAACGCCGTCACGGCGGTCATGGCTCTGCAGAAAAACCGGTAGACGTACGCGGCGTTGTGAATGTACACCACAACGGCGTACAGCCGGACGAAGATGAAGTAGTTTAGGAGCTCAAAGAAGGGTCGCCAGAAGAAGATCAACGGCGGGGTTTGAATACACCAGAGCAGTATCTCTAGTAGCATCTGCAGCAAAAAGGGGGATGTAAATATGTTGCGGTGGTCCTTGTAAAACACATTCGTCAGCCCCGTGTACTGGGCCTTGATGGAGTAGACGCGCAAGATAATAAGCACCGCCGCCGCCGACACGACGAGGATTGTCCATTCCACCACCGCAGTCGCGGGGAGGAGCGAGAGGACAAACACGATAATGGCTAGCAGCGCCTGGACGCCGCGCAGCCAGCGGTGGTACGCCGCGAGGAGCTCGAGGCTGGCAATCCCATTCGTCACCACCAGCGGGGCACTTTGCAGGCTGACGTCAATGTAGAGCTCGTCCCGAAGCAGGTGCTTCACGCGTGTGCCTAGCAACCGCGGCCCCAGCGTGACCGCGCGCGTTTTGCGCCGGAGGAGGTTCAGCAGCCCGCGCTTGGCGCGCCGCCGCGGCGAAGTTTGAGTCGCGTTCAGATTGAGTTCCATCCCTTCTCCCTCCAGCCTCTGCTTTTTTTTTTTCGTTTTGTTGCGTGCTTTACAACGTAACAGGGGGAGGCTTACCGCAGATTGCCTGCTTCCTATTCGTATGTATATTGTGTGCTTGCCCGTATGTGTGTATTCCGCTCTCTCGGTGTGTGCTGTGGCCCCGGTGCCCTGCTGCTGCCTTTCCGTGCCCGCAAAAAAGAACAGAAAAAAAAAGTGAAGTGCAAAATCCCACCACAAGTACAACAACAACAACAACAACAACAACAACAACACAAACACAAACAAACAGACGCTCTCAATGAAGTTTACTTCACCGGCGGAGCGGCGGCCGAGGCTGTCTACAGTGCCGCTTGAGCCCCCACAGCCCCGCACGCCACGAGGACGAAGTGACGCAGCGCCGACAACAGTAACGTTTCACCATGCGGAAAAAGCAACGCCGGTGCGTGAGTGTGTGTGCGTGTGTGTGTATGGGGAAGAGAAGAAGCACCGCCGCGTTCCAGACTTACACCCGCGCGGCCGGCCTAAACCGAGTTCGTATTAGTATCCTCTTCACGCACAGACCTCCAAGGCAGCAGACAGGGCATAGTGCAAAGCCGCCACTCCAGACTCATTTCTGCGGCAGCTGCAGCTCGGTGAGCCGGCGAATTTGCTCTTCGCAGCACTGCAGGAGCATCAGTACGCGATCGTCCCCGGAGTCCGTCTTCCCGCTTCTCGTCACGCCGCCTGGTCGCAACGTCCGCCGGGGATCTATACAGCGCTCAGCCTCCCGCCTCAGTGCCGCATTCTCGCGTCGCTGGCGCGCCAGCGCCCGCCCCAGTGCCTCAATCTGCCGGACCAGCGGATCCACAACCCGCTGCAGGAGCACCTCCTTCTGACGCCGCTCCTCTCGCAGGATGTAGGACAGCTGGTCCACAATGAAAAGAAGCCGCTGCCGGTCGTCCTCCGCGTAGGCCTGCGCAAAGGAGAACGATGGGGCACAGCGGCCGCTACCGCTGCCGAGCACCGCCTCCCTGCCGCCCGCGCTGTCGCCGACGCCGATCCCTTGCAGCCGCGCTGAGCCATCGGTGACGTCGACGAGGAGGTGGGCATCGGGGTCTGCAGGGTGGCAGGCGCGAGGCGCGGTCTCCGTCTCCGCCACGCAACGTCCATCAATACGCCGCCGTACATCATGGGCTGAGACTTCCTGCCGCAGAGGACTGGCGGAGCCGTTCAACGCGCTTGAGCCGGGCGAAGAGGACGCACGACGGGCTCCTCCTGCCGCTGCGCCGCCTACAGCCGTGGCGGCATACGAGGCATTCTCGGCTTCCTCCTCAGGCGCAGTGCCGCTTTCCCACGCCCCCCGCAGACCCTGACGTCGCTGTCGTTGTCGCCGTCGTCGCTCGGCGCGCTGGTGAAGCTCGCGCGCCTGCTCCCGCAGACCGTGCTGGCGGAACAACTCCGTCTCCAGCCCGGCGAACCGCCGCTCCAGCTCCCTGACGCTGATGCCGTCTGAAGTTTCACTCGCGTGCTCCTCGCCACTGCCGCCGTCAGCGCCACCCTCGTTTCCTGCCCTGGCGATGAGCCGCTGCAGTTGCAGCAGTGAGTCCGCAACGCCGGCCATCACGCACAGACACGCAAGGTGCGCCTACGCCCAATGGATTCGTCTTGCTAAGTTGGGTGTGCAAGTGCGCGTGCCCGTCCCTATTTGTAGCATGCGGTGACAACTACTTTCCCACAGTGCCCGTACCTTTGAGAGAGAAAAAAAGAAGAAGATAGAAAAAGGTGTGGAACCTCGGCTTCGGTGACCGGGACACCCACCGAATCCCACAGCCGCCTCCCTCCTGCAGATTCACCTCCCCCCCCCCCCGGGGGGCAGCGTTGCTACTTTTTTTATATTCATGCGTCTCAGTACTTAAAAGGCGGCGGCGGAGCGGCGAAGGGCCAATTTTCACAACCTCCTGCTTTCTTGTGTCTTTTTTTTGTTTTGCTTCTTCTTTCCTCGCTGCCCTTTCCCCGACTCCTTTTTTTTTTTAAACGATCCTTTCCGGACGCAGCTCCGGCGGTGCTTTTTATTTCCTCGCCGCCCCTGCTCCTCCGCCTTGGGCCTGCAGCAGCTACCGGGGCAACATGCAGACAAACGCACGCACCCTCCCCCTCCTCTTCTGCTCGCTTACGCTCAGACAGGAACCGTCTCACGCTGCCGCCACGGTTGTCACTCCTTCTTTTTGCCACCGTCGCCCGCAAGGGCGCGGCTGTGGTACTTCTTCTTGTGGCCCTGGATCTTGCTCAGGTCAAAGAAGCGGGTCTTGTCCTTCTCCTCAATGGTGTGCCGCACGAACTGCAGGCCGGCGATGTCGTAGTCCATGCGTCCCACGGCGCGGTCGAGCCCCTCTGCAATCATGCAACGCAGCGCGGCAAGCCGGCGGGCGCCGTGCGCCTCCGAGATCTCACCGGCTATGGCGGCACGGGAGGTGTTGCCGACGGCCGCGACACCCGGCGGCGCCGCAACGAGGGCCAGAACGATCTTCGCTGCAATCTCGTAGTTCAGCACCGCCCGCTCCCGCAGCATCCCCTCCAGGTAGGTGAGCAAGGCGTCAACATGCGTGCTTGTGAGCGAGGAGAGCGCGTGTCGCATTTCGCTTGGGCGGACGCTCTCAATGGTGGACCAGAGGTACTCCCAGACTGTCTTGTTTGCCAGCAGCGGGTGCGGCGGGGTGAGGTCCTCCGCGTTTTCGCGGCGCTGCAGTTCCACGCTGACAAGGTCGAGCGCCTCCATAAGCTTCTCGGCGGCGGCGGCGGTGGCCGTTGTCAGCTGCCCCGCCACGGCCACCTCCGGGTTCTGCTGCTCCAGCGTCTGCATCGCCAGGCGCTTTGCGGCCTCCTCGTCCATGGCCTCCTGTGCCATGCGCTCCTCCTCCTCGGCGGGGAAGACAATGTCCTGCGTGCGCAGGAAGCACCGAATGCACTTGTCCATCCCGGCGGTGGCGAGGCAGGTGCCGTTTGCGGTCGCCGCCACCGCCCAGACCCCGCGCTGGTGCTGCCGGAACATCTGGATCATCGTCCAGTTGTCCCCATCCCAGTGCTTCACGGAGCCGTCGAGGGAGACGGTCAGCAGCTGGTGCGTGTCGCGCAGGAACGCCACCTGGGTCACGTAGTCGTCGTGGGCGTGAATCGCGCGGTGGCAGTCGCCAAAGTCGGTGCCCCAGAAGCGCAAAGACTTGTCCATGCCCACCGAAGCCACAAGGGTGCCGTCGGAGGAAAAGTCCACCGCCGTCGGTGGGAGCTTGTGCCCAAAGAGCGAGAGATACGGCTTCATGGTGTCTGCAAAGAAGAGCTGAATGTTTGTGTTCTGCAGACCCACGGCGACAAAACGGTTATCCGGGCTCATGGCGACAAACAGGGGGGACTCCGTCAGCTCTATTTCCATCGACTGCAGCAGCTGCGGCGCGGCGTTGCTGTTAACCTTAGTATCGTTATTCGCAGGCCGCTTCTTCTGCGCCTCGGCGGAGTCCTTGAGCAGCGCAAGCGTCCAGACAATGAGGCGCCGGTCAGCTCCGACGGAGACAAAGCCGCTGCTGTCGGGTCGCTGCGCCACGTGTCGCACGCCGCCCACGTGCACCTCCGCCTCAGCGAAGACGACGTTCGACGCCGGGAGGTCCACGAGGAGGACGGAGCCGTCCTGCAGCCCAACGCAGCAGAGACTTGCCGAGATGGCGGCCATCGCCGCTGCCGCCTCCACGGCGACGTGCCCGGTGCACGTGAGCGCCCCTTCGGCGTCGGCGTGGTGGACGTTCGCCTCCTTCGCGTCGTAAAAGTCGTGCGCCGCCGCCGCCCCGACGTCGCCGTGCTGCGGCTTGAGCGCGACGTTCCACATCATCACCTTCTCGGCGCTCAGCGAGAGGAGCGCGGTGTCGTCCTCGACAAAGGCCAGCTGCCGGATGTCGGACTGGTGCCCGCGCTGCTCCATCGTCTGGCGGGGCTTGAGGTCCTGCAGCGTCCACGTCGCCGCCCCCGCCAGCTCGCTGGTGGCCAGCGCGGTGGTGTACGTGCAGACGTTGTTGTTGTTGAACGTCACGGCGATGTGCAGACGATCGGCGTCCCGTCCGCCGCTGGGGCCGCTACTGGCGGGCGGGACAAAACACGCCCCGCGCACCTTTTTCTCCATAAAGAAGGTGCGCAGGAGGACCACCTCCTCCGCCGCGGAGGCCGCGTTGGCGCCGCCTGCCTGCGGGTTCTCCGCCTCGTGCGCGTCCGCGTCGTCCTCTTGCGCCGCGTCGTGCCCCGCCGCCCGCCGCTTACGCTTGCGGGAGATTTTCCTCCGCACCTCCTCCCGCGTAAGCACGCGGAAGACCTCCACCGTCTTGCTCGTGCACGCCAAAAGGAAGGCCCCGTCGTGCGAGAAGGACAAGGACGTCACGGGCTTCTGCAGTTTGCGCTGGATGCCGCCGTGCTCCACCACCGTCGCCGTCGCCGTCGCCGCCGCCGCCGCTGCGTCTGCGCCGTGCGACTCGTCCGCCGTCAGCAGCGCCTCCGTGTTGAACACCTTCAGCTGGCTCTCCCGCAGCCCGCAGTAGAGGCGCCGCCCCGCGCTGTCCATCCGCAGCGAGGCGACCTGCGCGTCGGAGGCGACGAGCGTCTGCACGCACTGCCGGAGGGCGATGTCCCACACCTTCACAAGCCCGTCGGCGGCGCCCGTCACCACCAGCCGGTCCTCCTCCTTCTGAGGGACGAACTCGACGCCGACGACGCCGCCGCGGTGGCCGCGCAGGCGGAAGGACGCCTCCTGCGTCACGAGGTCCCAGACGGTGAGGTCGGTGTCTTGGCCGCCGCTGCACGCGTACGCGCGCCGGGGGCCGACGGCGAGGGCGAGGACGGCGGTGTCCACCTTGTGCCCCAGCGCGTAGAAGCGGCAGAGCGGCAGGCCGTAGTTGTTCGTCGGCCCGCAGGCAAAGACGGCGACGTGGCCGTTGTGGTAGCCCACGAGCAGCAGCCACCCATCCCGCTCCAGGAAACTTTGCCCCGCCGCCGAGGCCTCCAGCGGCACCACGCGAAGGGCGGTGACCTCCAGCGGCATCTTTGCCTCGGCCGGGATCAGCGCGTGCTGCAGCGCCCCGCTCCGCACAGAGTAGACCCGCACGGCCTCGAGGCTGGCAACAAACACGACGGCCCCCGCCACGGCGGCGCGCTGCCAGCCCCGCCCGCCTCGACTACTGCCGCCGTGGCGGGGGCCGGGCTGCGTCGCGGCGTCGGCGTACGAGGACGGCGCAACGACGCTGCAGAGCGTCAGTGACGCGTTACTTGCCACCGCCCCTCCCTGCGGGCCGACGACGTACCGCAGGTATGTCTTCCCCACCATCCTTTCACTTCTAGTATATATGTATATATACGTGTGTGCGTGTGCGTGTGTGGTTGGGAGAAGTGAAGGACGCAATTGAAGCGAAAAAAGAAAAAGAAAAGAAAGAGAGAAACGAGCGTCAACTCGAAGCAGCGCGCCGAACCCGCAT